GGAAGAGCGGCAATAAAGCGAATAATCTCAAGGTGTATGACTTGCAGACGGTGGAATGCAAAACCATTCAAACTTCCACCAATGCCAAATTTGCCCGAATCCCGAATGAAGCGATCTAGAACGTTCGAACAAGTTGGTTTGGATTACTTGGGCCCCCTGTCGACCAAAACTAATGTTGGCATAGAAAAGAGATGGATAGCTCTATTTACATGCTTCACCACTAGAGCAGTACACCTCGAAATGGCAGAAAACCTATCTGCAGAAAACTTCTTACACATTTTGAGAAGATTCGTGGCCCGAAGAGGATATCCGAAGCTGGTGTTAAGTGATAATGCAAGCCAATTCCAAGTAGTGTTTAACACTATTATGGAAGAAAATTCCAACTTCTCGGCAGAACAGGGTATGGTATGGAAAAACACGATACCAAGAGCACCATGGAGTGGTGGAGTTTACGAGCAACTCATTGGACTTACAAAGAGAGCCGTCAGAAGAGCTATTGGAAGAAAATTACTTATGAAAGAACTTATAACCTTAATAGCTGAAATTGAGAGAATACTTAATACCTGTCCACTAACCTATATAGGGTTTGAGGATTATAACATAATACGTCCAATTGATTTTATATCACTTACTGCTTCATTGGATATCCCAATCGATACCGAACAAGATCGAGATGAGTACATTCCGTATATACCAAAAACAAGGGATAAACTCATTGATTATTGGACAAATACGTTGAAAACGCGATATTTTTTGGAAATTATGGAGAGATGAATACCTCACAAGTCTTAGAGAACGTATGCGAACAGAAGTATTCGCCAACAAAATGGTGGTACTACAAACTCCACGGAAAAATGACATAGTTTTGTTGAGCGAACCTGAAGTACCTAGAAGTACATGGAAGTTAGCAAAAATAATTAAGCTTCATAGTGACAGAAGAGGAATAACTCGAAGTGCAACAATCCAGACGCCAAATGGCCGACAGCTTGATCGTGCGATAAGCATGCTATGTCCGTTGGAGATAGTCCAAATGATACACAAGGAAAGGCAGAAGAAATGATTGAAACCTTGGAGGAACCCATCGGTACACGAACAAAGAGGGTCAGAAAACTGTTAAACGCAGAAAAGACGAGCAAACCTAAGTTCCTAAGAACCCTATTCGTGCTTAATGTAATAGCATTGATGTTTGCACAAGTCCAAGCTATGAGTAACTGCACGTGGAAGTTAAGAATACCGTTTAATATCCCTGAGAAATGGAACTGCGAAAGTATCACTAATCAAAATGTTACTTTACACAAGGCTGAGATGTACACACGTACTCATGTCCGGATACCAGCTATAAAATGTAGTAACATAACATGAACAGTGTGTATAAAGGCATTATTCAGACTGATACTATCAATAGTATCTGACCAAACGGTTACTTCTGCCATAACTCCCCAGCTATGTCGAGCTATCTATGCTAACAGACAAGTAGACGGAATCAATTTGATCCAATCATCTCCGCACAAATGGATATCAAACAATCAAGTTCAATACTCATATGGATGGCTAGGTGAAGGGTGTCAATCTACAACGAACATCATAATAAACGAAGGAGAAATCCTGCTGGACGAAGGAAGAGACCTAGTCCCTGATCTTGAAGATACCGCACACTGCAGGGCAGAAGAAGGCGAGTCCATAACGAATAGTAGTATCGTTTTATGGAACGGTACTGATCTGGTCAATCATTGTATTGAAGGATCGGAAGATTCGACGCTATGAAGTATGGAGATCACATCATCATCAATGAATTGCAGGCATCATTTGTAGTTGATAAAGAAACCTACACGACTATAAGTTCACACTGCATCTTCCACAACCCATATCTAATGAAAGGGAATATCATCCTTGATATGGACATAAATAATGAAGGAAACATTACTAATCTGACACAAGACCCGAGTATCAACTACTTATGGTGGAGATTTCCCCTGAAGAAACATTGGACCCCAGCAATGCGAAGTATCAATATATTGTCGACTCGTTGAAAAGAGAGTTCATCCAACGACTTGAAGTGGTATATCAGAGAAGCTGTCAAAACCGAAACAATTTATTATACTTGATCGAAGCATTGGCTAGGCATGAACCTACCTTCGCAACCAAAATGATACTGCAAAGAGACGTAATCGCCAGAATCGAGAAAGGAACGTTATTGATAGCGCCTTGCCGTAAGGAAGAATTCCCTTTCGAGATATTGAATTCAAGGGAGGAATAACCAATAAGTTCGAACTCGGAAGGATCGATGCCGAGTTGGAACTACTAGCCCACAAACACGAGGAAACATCCTACCAACCTCCTACCAGTCAACACTTAACCAACAAAGAAATTTCTCTTTAGCAAGAAATCGCGGCTCAAGGAGAAGTAACCAGGCAATTAGGCAACCAGTTCAACCAATTTACGAAGGTGATAAAGGAAGAAATTGATAGTATAACAACCCACTGGAGGATGATAACTATAGGTACATGTATTGTTGCAATTTCAATTGTGTTAATCGCTCTTAAATTGAAATTCGACTTCCTCAAATCTATATTTTATTCTTCCTACGGGAACAGTACGTACCCCTTTTCTAGACAAGGGAGAAGTCCCAGTTATTAAACTTAATACTTTCTGCTATACACCTGAAAGCCTTTAATTCAAACTATCACTTCAAATTCACTCTCTTTCTCTCCCCTCCTCTCTCTCTCTCTTCCCGTTGGGAGTGTCGCGAATTTCAATTTGGCGAAAGACCAAAGTATAAAAAATTATTTGAGTTTGAACGATACCATTTCGCAACCTAAAATTACACAAGTTACAAACTGTTATCTAACTGTAACTTTTTTATGTCTTAATTTAGGCTTCGAACTTAATCTTTAGCCAAGTTGTTAGGAAATAATTATAATATCCTTTCTAAATTACTTTCTAAAATTTTAATCCGTCCAAGCAATTATCAATCAAGTCTCGAGATCTTTGTTCTAAATCACCTCTGTTGAATTAGTTGGAGCAAAACCATCCCCACTTTTTCCGTATATAAGTTGTATTCCGTGTTACCAAGGATTGATGATCAGTTTTTCATTATTCTCGATCAGTTTGGATTATTCTCATTTTTTTCATCATTATCAGCAGTATTGTGTCGTTTTTGTGACCTTACCCTTGACAAGTAAAGAATCTACTCTTGCCTTTGTCCACAACATACGACACACGCACATTATCCACATCAAACTTGGTGCAGCTAATACTCCAAGTAACCTCAATTCTTCTCTACAACAACGTGTAGAAAATCCCCTGCTTGTTCCAACTATTGACTGACCGCAAAATACCTCACAAAAATCCACGACACCACTTACTCAACTTCTCTTCTATAGAACACTGCTACTATGAAATTCTTGATAAATTCTATTTGATGACAACTTTAAATCCAATCCCAAAAATAAATCCCTATGAGAATATCCAAGAACAATCTATCGACAGATTCTGCCTACAATATTTTTCAGTCTATCGACAGATTCTGCCTACAATATTTCTCAATCTATCGACAGATTCTGCCTACAATATTTCTGATATATATATTATAACATCTATGAAGAACAGTTCTCAACTAATTCAACCAATCAATCTTTACCACAACTATTTTTCTGCGTCAAACAAAGGAAAATATCATTTCCGAGACACCAGGAAAGCAATTTTTAGGACGAAAATAAACAAACTTATCAAAATCAAAAAATTATTCTAAGCGTGGAAAACCTGATTACGACTGCTCTCTTACCACTTCCACGTCTTTCCCCTCGACAAAAGTATGTGTCATTCTCTCTTCTTCCTTTACATTAGTTGCACGGAAAGACATATCATATCTGCAATGCTCTGTTAAACAAATAGCCTTTAGATTTCAGATAACAATTCATTCTATAAAAAACAATGAATTTATTACCTTCAGTTTGGAAACTTGCCGAAAATTTTAGAAAGTTGTAAGTATCAGATTCTCTACCTTGAAAAAGTCAATATTTTCGAATCGAAATGAAACAGCTGCAGCGACGTAGCAGCGAATGCTATCGTTTGAACATTTTATAAAAGAAGTCAGTCTAATAAATTAGCGAAACTTACAGAAAACAGTGCAACTTGTCGAGCTTCCGGAAAAGCAAATCATACTCTTCATCAAGTTGACCATTATCACTATAAAGCAAATTTTAAACGATCTATGATCATCGGTGAATATCGTTATTATGATAATTTTGAGTGATTTGAAAAACAGTAACCTGAAAGTGGAGAAATTTGGGGCCTGTATTTTGTGCAATTTGACATGGAATGCAGTCAAATCCTCCATTTCTTCTCTTGCTTTCCGCATCATTTTCAATTTTTCCTTACCCACTGGAAAAAAAAAAGCATCCCGAGAACTTTACAAACAGCAAAAAGTTATCAAATTTGCTCTGGTCTCCAGTTACTCTCAAATTAGTTCCACAGTTCCTAATCTTACGAGGAATCTGGAAACGGGATCAACACTGCCATCGCTATCTATTGGTCAACGATTTGAAGAATAGCAGACTAAAGCGTATGTCATAAACGCCAACTCCATGAAATAAAGAATAAGTTTTAAATCTCAGAAGAAAAGCAACACCATTTTTTCGACAAAAAACCGTCACCTTATGACTCGTAGCGTAGCGGTTAAATTAATGTTTGTAAATTATCCGTACTTGAATTCACGATCAATCACAATTTTTGAAATGAAAGCAATCTGTCTCTCACTGTGACAAACAGCTTTCATTTCTAACTTCAACATATCATCTGTCACACGTTGTAAGTGTAAGTAAGCTAAACTTACAAGCACACATTCTTCCCGACCGGAAATTGTCCACCAGTGTAGTAAGTGATTGTTCTAGAGCTTCAATTTCAGCTGCATTGTCCGGTTCCAGACCCATTTGATCCAAATTATTTATCGCATTATCAGTTTTTCTAAGCATACCATTAGTTTCACCGTTATTTTTTTGATCAGTTTTACCTATTCCATCAATGGGTGGCGTTACAGCAGTCATCATTTCGTACCATTCATCTTAAATAAAATAATATAGTGATTTTCAATTCAAACAATTCTGTATAATCACAATACAAATAAATGCAGCAATGATAAGTACTTCTTATCCGTAAAGCAATTATATACCCTAAAGAGGACGCTACATTTAGACTTTGCACAAACCTATAAAGGATTTTGATAATTAAAAGACCAACTGAATATCACGCTAAGTTACTGGCTCCGTGATAACATTCGCTGCAAGTGGTGAGTATTCCGAAGATATGGGTGAAAAAGAGTCTGTATTTTTAAGAAAACGCAAATAAACAAAGTTGCCCAACTGACTATGATGTAACTTTGCTGCAGATTGCAAGATATAAAATGAAAAACAGCCATGTCATCCCATATCAGAAGGAAGGTGGGGAGAACTGCTAGAAAAACACAAATTTTCCACAACGACGCTGATGTTATTAGAACTCAGAAACGATAGAGTTTGTCTCTTCTGATAGATGAAAGTCATAGGTATATAATACAAAATACAAATTACGAAACCAGCACATATCTTGAAGTCAAGCAAGTTCGTAATCCAAATTAAGATAAATAGAACATATTGTAGTTTTAGACACATTGACTTATAATTCATTAGATTTATGAATAAATGTTATACTGATTAATAAGATACCAAGTTGAAACTAAAGCATATATATCTTCACTACTTGAGTTCTCTAAAAAAAAGGAAAAAATCATCCAGTACAACTAATTTACACTCAGTTTTGAAATGATGCTGAGAAAAAAATCACACTGATAGAAAGGACGAATGCATGCACAGCAGCTTACCGTGTTTATCATTCTCATTGACACCAACCGTCTTCCCTTCTTTATATGATAGCTGCAATATATTTGGACGAGAAAAACGTTTGCCGATTTTATCAGCGCTACCATCGGTGGAGTCATTTTTTCTGGCAATTATTACTTGTCAAATGGGAAGAAAATGTAATTAGGCAAAGATATGTTAAAAATTACTTGTTTGACGAAAATTTTTCTCAAACTGTGTTGATCAAATGACTTACATGACAAGATATGAAATGAAAATGCATGAGTAGGGTTTCATAAGATCAAACAATCTGAAAGATGATGCAAAATAAAATTAGGCTAATGCAATACTTTGAAGCGAATGAGGCTGAAATTTTCGATAATCGATGCATTCTTCCATGAATTCATGCAACCTGTGAAGAGTTTGTTTCGATTCTCCCTTTAATGATATCAAATATAACGTAATGGAACGTTATGAGAGTGTCGGTACAATGATACATGCACGTTACGTAAATAATACGGAAATTTCAGATAAAAATTTGGGAAAAGCAAATAATAAGTACAATTAATTTATGTATTTACATTCTAACTAACTGCTATCTAAGTGTCTAAAATAATTTGCAAAACATTTCCCTTTTTGTGGCAAATTTGAAATAATTTTAAAGATTGAAGGATTAAAGGGTATTTCCTATTTGCACTAATAGAAGAAACTTTTTTCCGATTCAAACATCTCGTTTAATCATTGCATATTTAAGGATTCGTTAGGCTTATCATAAATATCATCCATTTTTGCTTTGTTTGGTCTAGACGTTTATTAGATTACACTGAAGCATTCTTCTTTTGTACTATAAACATTAAGCTGAACTTGAAAGAAAAAAATTTTTTTTCTACTTCGTTTTCTTCGTTTTCAGTTTAAATGGAATAATATAAGACAGCAGAGCATCTTCCGGAAGCCTAGCTATATTCACGTTGCAGTTATATTATTGCAAAAAGCTGGTTTCTTTCTCGCCCATCAATTTATTGCAAGTATTTTGACCATTCCCTTTTTATTATTAAAAATTTTAGAAATCTCTCGAATCATAACTAAGAAAATATTCGCACTCAATACAAGAAGAGATGTGAAACATCTCTTTTCAATCGTAATCCGTTTAACGATTATGGCAACAATTATCCTATTGAAAATTTCCTTAGCTTTAACTATTCTACCCGTAATTCGTCAGGATTACAAATAAAACAGATTTCAATTTTCGAAAATCAAATTGAACATACTGTCCATTCTTGATATTTGTCGTTGTCGTCAATAACACTTATTCAACTCTAATCCATCTTTTCCTGATTCTTATCTGAAAGCCATTTCCTTCATTTCTCGATACAAATCGTATGTTATTTCTCAAACCATGACCATTTGCAATACAAAATCTGGCATTCAGTACGATTCCATTAGTTTATTTATATAAAGTTAATTAAGCATGCGTAAATACATAATAAATTAAGCTAAGACGCATTAACCAAACTGAACGTACTAACGTAATTGATTTTTGTAGGATTTTCACAAATATTAAATGCTCATTACAGAGTCTTATGGAGCAACGGGAGGCTATAAGATCAAGGCAAGAGATGAAGGAAGAGTTATGACGTATGCGAATGACGTATATGTATTCCACGCACGTGCATGCATTTCACGTACATGCATGTGTGTTATGCATTCGTTAGAGATCGATAAAATTCCTAAGACACTGCATTAGACGAGAGAGTAGAGAATGCATGTAGACGACGTGCACTCTCTACTCTCTCCTCGTCTAATGCATTCCTGTTATGAATCTCATCAATCTCTATTGGATCCATAAAATCAAAGATATTTTCTTTGTTGCAATCTCTGCAAACTCCATTTGAGATTTGATATCTTCCCTCGAATTTTGGCAATAACCTCTTCACATTACACACTGTTTCTCATTCATTCCAATTTCTTTGTTTTATGCGATTTTTTTTCTGCTTTATGCAACCAAATGGAAACGTTTTATTTAGGGTAATGAAAAGTGAGTTGCTAAATTTGCATGGGAGGCGTGAGAAATTGTTAAACTAACGTGAAAGGTGTGAAAAGTTGTCGAATTTACGAGACGTGAAAAGTTACTAAATTCTCTATGAAACATTTATAAAAAAGATGTAGAATTTACTATATTTTTTGACAAAAATTTATTTTGACTACACATATAAGTACGATACTTTATAAAATTCCAAATCAACAGGCCTAAAAAAAAAGATATAAGCAAAAAATTAAGTGGATAGATAAAAAGTTGATATAGCTTTGCCCAATGACCTTTCCATCGAATTTAAAGGCTACAATTGCAATCCTTCATTATCATAGCCTACTGTCCAACTTTTCCTTTTTTTTGCCTCGCATCATAGCCTAGTGTTAAAATCTTTTTTTTAAATTGTCCCACATTCATTCATAGTCTAATTTGACACTATCTGTATTCAAGATTCATTATCGTTTCTTCATGATTATGAGCTTATTGGTTATATTCGTTTATTTTTGAGGTACAACTATTGCATATTATTGTATTATCGTACTATTGTATATCGATGATTAGATTAATCAGCAACTGGTAAGTAACAAGTTCGTGATCAAATAAGGATAATGAAGATTGATTGTCATTTAAAATTATTTAATAAGCAAGATTTATTGTATAACATTCGATCCATTTAGAAAGCAAACAAAAATTCTTTCTTTCACAAAAAAGAAAGGTTGAATTCATCTATCACTTCCCTTTATCATATCTTTTTTATCATTTAAATTAAATTCAAAATTATGCAAAAGGAAAGAGGAAGAAACGTAAAACAGAAGTTTGTTAATAAATAATTTAATAAATATTTGATACTTTTTAATAAATATCTGATATGTTAATAAATAATTTAATAAACATTTGATATTTTTTTTTATTTGATATATTCGAATTAACACTTAGCAATCATTATTCAACTCACCTTTACCCAAACATTATCATTGTAATATCATTTATTATTACCATTATAATGTTGCTACAATTTATTTCCAAAATTCTTTTTTTAATTTACTCTTTCATGTAATAAATTTTTATTAAAACTGCAAAGAATTATTGAATTTTTCTTTTTTTTTGTTTTTAAAAATCCACAGAATTTAGAATTTCACAGTTGTCGGAAAAACTCCGAAAGTCATAATGCAAAATTTTTTCGCATTACCGAAATTGGAGCTATGTTTAGATAAAATTTCCACAATATCCAACAGACGGGGTGACGAAATCTTGTAAGTAAAATTAAAGCAATGAAGAGGATATAAGTTAACAATGGATAGCATAAAACAAAGACATTTCAGTATCTACACCATAGACAATGATATCACTGTACCTACGCAATGTACAATGCCTAGTCATACTTTCATGATAATCCCGATGAAGCTTATAAAACTCTTCCCTAATCTTTATATAACAAATCCCAAACTGCAGATTTTTACAACCGACAGACGATATATACTTTATACTCTCTTTTGTTGTTAACTAGTAATACTGTGCAAGAACAATATTACATTTCGAATAAATCTATATCGCCGAGAAATGAGTTCAACAGATTAACAATTTCTCAACAGCAGTTGTCCAAAACAGAAAAAGGTGCATTTGTCAACAAATTTTGAATTCATTTCTTGTTTTCAAAAAATTTTTCTAAAACAATTATTAAGATTTTTTTTTGTTACATATTTATCATTATCATCATCATGCAGCATTTTTACTTGATAAATATCGTTTAAAAATTTCAAAGAAATGTTGAGCTTTCTTTTCTTTATTCCCTGAATTTGCAGTTAGCTGAGCATAAAAAAGAAATGTGTTTACTAACAAATTTCACGATGTATTTCTCTTTCCTTTTTTTAAAAATTTTCCTGACAATTATCAAAAATCTCTGATGCATATTTAATCATTATCACACAGTATCTTTATTTACATTATCTTTACTTAATCAAATATGGAATAGATGAAGATAACAGTGATATCGACAACATATTGATCAAAAATGGCAATAACGTTACCAAATTTTCACCGAAAATGCTTAAGAATTAAGGATTTTCCTCAAAATTTTCTTTAATCCGAAATAGAGGATAACACGACTTATTATTTGTGATAGCAATCAAATCCCAAGTCGATAATACACTGAACTGATCAAAAATCGCAAAAACTTCATTGAATTTTCACTAAAATCGATTATAAATTGAGAGTTTTTTCAAAAGGAAAAAGAAAAAAAAACCTTTAATCCAAAACACTTAACCAAAACACTTGAACAAACATCGCCACGTTACTCTTCAGTCCAAAATTCTCGCAATTTGATCCTCAACCTAAAATTTTCCCAGATTGTTCCCCAACGTCGAGCTTGCGATTACTTTGCCAGATATTTACATTTTTGAAAATTCAGCGCAATTATGTAGCGTAATAGTAATAATAATAATAATAATAATAATAATAATAATAATAATAATAATAACAATAATAATAATAATAATAATAATAGTAATAATAATAATAATAATAATAATAATAATAATAATAATAATAATAATAATAATAATAATAATAATAATAATAATAATAATAATAATAATAATAATAATAATAATAATATA